AGCTGATGCCAGAGCCAACAAAGCTGCCACTTAATGAACATACGTAGGTCAAATATGCCAATACTGATATGTCTATACTCGAAGCCTCAAGCAATAAACACAGAAATTGTTTGAACATTATAATACAGGTCACCTGTAATAAAAAGATTTACTAGTCTCTTTGACCATGTGTGTTACTCCTACGTCTTCTTTGGCATGCTGTGACTTAGATATTCTAAGCAAACATGTAGTGAACATTAAGCTTATAGATGTTAGACAGCGCAGTCAACAACACTGCCCATTGTACAGTCAATGAGAATATTCTTGAATGACTGCACACTGACTGCTAATTAATGTTGGCTAATGTCAGACAGATGTGGAAAACTGAAATTTGTCTGGGCCAACTGTAGACAAGGAAAGATAAATAACGGCTCGGTCTTGAAAGTCAATTGATGAAGCACTTTTCTCATAATGAAAGTAACACCAGCAACTCGACCAGCTGTTGTTATGTTATTTATTTATTGATTTAATATTGTAATATAGCATGCAGTGCTATATCCCAGATCATTCTATTTGCTAGTCACTGCTTCCCATTAATAGACTTTAAAGCCACATTAATCATGATATTGCACTACAATACACTACAGTTACACTTTAATAATTCATCAGACGACTGTTTTAAATGGGAAAGGTGTAACTTGCTAATTCAGTAAAAGGACTAGATGTTGTAGTGCATTGCATTAAATGGCGAGAAGCTTGAGGGATGGCTGTTATGAGGAAAGGCAGCCCAGAAACTTTCGGTCTTTTACCCAGGCTAATCTGACATTTTTGGGGGGATTAGAGATCTGATCTAAATGATCATATTAAGATTTGGGACACATTATCAGTAGTGGACCTTGGATTCTTCTTCAAAGGGATAGAAAAGGTGATAGAGAGAAGTAAGACAAAAGAGACAAGATAGGAGAGTGCAGAGAGGAGAGCCGGAAGGGGGCGCTCGATCTGGCTTCCCACACCGCCCCGCCGGATCGGGCTGTATGCTCTACCTCCCCACTAGAATACAGTCTCCAAAAATGATCAGAGGAATTATTTTATTGTGTGTTGGTTTTTCCTGTCTGCAAACTTTGAACTCACTGAGGTTGTTTTCAGCCGCAGCAGGTCTCAGCAGCAATGAGAGAAAAGTAGTGACAAGGACTTGATTTAGGTGGACACAAAGATGACTCCAAGGGAGTGCTAATGTTAGCTGCTAGGAAACTTCTGTAGGTGATGATGGAAATTAAAAAAAAAAATGTTGACTGAAGCATCACGTATGCACTTCAGAAACCTCTGGGTTCAGACTGTGCCTTTGTTCCACGTGTGGGATTTCATTGCATCTCATGGAAGCTGCTGTGTGTAACACAATGCAAAGCAGTCACCTAATTTGTTTTTGTGCTGAGTTAAAGCTTTCTTCTTCTTCTCATTCTTTTCCAGTTCTTTTCATTTCTGTACAACAGTTTCTTTTAAAGTGATCACTTTATGCTCATTATAAAAGCCTTTTTTTTCTTCCCTCACTTATCTGCTGCTGTTTGATCATGGCACGCATATATGCTTTGTAATTTGGATGTGGGTGCTCCCCTGAGTATCATTTGATACATCTTAAACTGGATACAAATTGCATCATTGCGAAAAAAGATCATGAGAAGGCTGAATTTTGTACTAGTTCATCTCTCGGTCCTGCTGTCTCTGGGAGCCTGTCACACAGCTACTTTCACAACGAGCGGCGCTGTCACATATCTGCTTTGAACATTAAACCCTTTTGGTTGAAGTTTAACAACTGAAGCTGGCTGCGAGCCTTCTGAGTTGTTGTTAGACTTGAGTGTTGCGTAGCAGCAAATGTGATGTAACACCCCCGGGGTCTTTTCTCTGTTAATCAAAAACATCAGAGCTGCTTTTGCACCGAAGCCGGCGAGTTAGTGCTCGATTATCTGATTATTCTTTTTGAGTTCTTCACCAGCTGCAGTATGTTGTTACATTTGCCATTTTCTGTTTCCCTGCAGAGGACATCGAGGTGCGTTTCTTCCAAGACTCTTGGGAGGGGAAGGGCACTTTCTCCCAAGCTGATGTCCACAGGCAGGTGGCCATTGTGTTTCGCACTCCGCCCTACCGTGACACTAACCTCACTGAGCCAGTGAGAGTCAAGATGCAACTCCGGCGGCCCTCTGACCGAGAAGTCAGTGAGCCAATGGACTTCCAGTACCTGCCGTCAGATCCAGGTAAAATATATTATATGCAGAAAATGTGCTGAATATGTGCAACTTTTCTCAAATTTAACTTCTTTATCATTTCCACCCTGGCAGATGAATACAGGCTGAGTGAGAAGAGAAAGCGGACAGGAGATATGTTCCAGAACCTGAAGCTAGGGCCCTTGCTATCTAGTGGTAGGTTAATAAGATTTTTTTTTCTGTCAGCTGAGCATAGTATAATTGGATAATGGTTACACTGTTGTTAAGCACGGTATTATAAAGACGTCTTCTGACATTTCAGTGACCACTCCACAAGATAGACAGCACCTAAACCCATCAAGGAGAAAGCTGACAGCCAAGCCTCAATTACTGAACCCACAAGCTGGTGAGTCTGTTGCAGATGTTCCTTCCTTATTTGAACTCATTTGAAGACATTTTACTTTACTTCCTGATGTCTTTTACACCAACTAACAAATGGATTCATTCAAAAATTGTCATTTCTGGCAAATGTAATTTGATGATAGTTAATGTCCGCTTATAATAAGTAATACTCTAAATAATAAAACAGTAATTTAGATTGGTGTTAGTTTCAATCTCCTCGTCTTCCTGTCTTAAAGCAGTTGAGTCATTAGCGGTGAACTTTGTGTATGTGAAATATGTGATAAGGATTTTCTGCAGTGAGTTCTCAAATCACTTGCTTGTGTTTGCAGCAGCTGTGGTGCCCACTGGTCCCACTGGGGCAAAATCACATCCCCAATACCCCTTCCAACCAGGCCAGCTATTTTCTGAGCAGACAAAGGTAGAAGCCTCCAACATGTCAGCAGCTCCTACCAACCAGTGGAAGATGACAGCCCTGGGCTCCCAACCAAAAGCAAACCCAGTGTCTAGCTTTTCAATGAACCCATCACCGGCCACCTCTACCATCACTTCCACTTCCAATCAGGACTACTCAACGGTCAACCTGTCAGATCTTCATGAATTCTTCCCCAACATTTCCTCGACTATCACCCAGCAGGAGCCCTCAGCTTCTCAAGTAAACTTGGCCTCTTCACAGACAAGCAACTCCTTCGCCCTCCAGAGCACTCAGTTCCGGGGAGAGCCACCACTTGTTGATGACGATATCCCAGATTTCCCTAGCTTCACTGAAGGCCAGGTCCCAGTCAACCTGGACAGCCTCAACATGGATGACTTGGAGGATCTTCTGAACCCCCAAATCGTAAATCATCCTTCATGTCAGCCGACTGGCCCTTCGGGCTCCTCTACCGCTGCCCAGACTAGTGCAGCATCTCAGAACACTTCTGACCCTGCCAGCAACCCAGGAAGCACTTGGATGAATTACCCCAACAGCATTGTGCATCTGCTCCAGAACGAAATCATGACAGACAGCAGACCCAATAACAACCAAATGCTCGAAGACTTCGATGAGTTGATGTCTGCTGATGAGGACCGTCTTATTTCCATTTTTAACAGTGGAAGCCAAGCTGGGTTTGTGTCAGGACACCCGACTTAAAGTTTCTTTCATTTTTCCAAAGACCAATTGTATCTTCCCCTGTGGCCATCAGGACTAAAACTTCTTTATTATTGTAAGGCAAAAAAGGAAGTAGGCAGAGGAGACCGAATGTAGCAGCACTGCTCACTGTGGACACACTTCTTAAAATACCAGCAATGACTTTATGGTATTCAGTCTGACGCCTTGCCCAGTCATATAGTTTGTCTGATAAATTACAAAACCCATAATGTAGGTGATCAGATTTCATGCCCTGTGAAACCCATGTCCAGCATCTGTGACTAAACGTTTAGGTCACTGTCAACATATTGATGGTGGAGACAGATTCTCCAGCGAATGTTTTACGAAGACAGACAGCATGGGTACTTTGATAAAGGTATCCGGTGTGGTGATTATTTTTGGAACATGTTAAGCATGTTTTTGTACTGTCATTTGAACAATTTTGGTAGCTGTGGCCACAAAAATGTGCAGCTTTTGTCTCTTTTTTTTGTCTTTATACAAAAGGGTTCATATATATGTAATCAGATCTAGAGGTAAGTCTACACAGATTATGTCCGTTTTTTAAAAAAAAATTTATCTCTTTGGATTGCACCATTGTTTTCTGAAGGTTAACACAAACTATCTGAATGTCTTGGAAACAAAATGAAGGTGTACATTTATCAAACAAGCAACATTACTATATATGTGCTTATACTAGAGATTGTGCTTTTTGTGGTAATAGTTTCCACTGCTCTGTAATCAGTTTTTCTACACTTATTTTATCAGTAATGGTTGCATTTTAACTCAGCTGTTTCAGACTTGCTATACTCTGCAGTAAGGTGCTTTACTGAAATGTAATTATGTTTTTACGTGTATTATGAAAGTGGATCGTAGTATAATTGTGCTTTTTTTTTTTTGGAATGAGACTTTGTCAACATACAAAACACTGTTTTGGCAATAAATACCACAACATATAAAGACGATTCTCAAAAGAGTATTTTACTTTGCAACTCTGTAACTGTTATACAGTACAAAGGGGGGGAAAAAGGCGAACGCAAGAGACAAATGTAAAATGGCAACAAGGAGTACTTCAGTGGATCTTCTGAAAATGTGCATACAAATCAAGGATGTTAGTCTTCTTCCCGGCACTCGAGCCTGTTAGAATCTTGTTAGTACTACTATTCTTGTATACAATATTTTCAATACAAAATAAAAAAATCTGAAAGTGTTTCAGGTCATTCAGAAAATTTTACAACACAAAAAGAAGAGACAAATTTAGTGTTTTGGATTGTTTTTTCAAAAGAAAAAAAAAAAAAAGAAAGAAAAAAAAAGGATGAACTTGTGATCGGAGTTCAACCAATGATGTTCTAAATAGTTGCAGTCAGAGGACTGTACTGTCCAACCCATCTCCTGGGATCATCACGCACCTCTTCACATACTGTTACAGCAAAACTCCTCTCTTGGTCTGAGTGGCTTATGTTACCTCAAGATTGGTAACTTTGTTGATGACGTGGGAACGCCTGGGCACACACTCCAGGTCGAACTTGCTCTCGTATATGGTGGGGCAAACATTCCAGCGGTTGTTCCGATAGATTCCCAGGTATGTATACACATCTGGCTTGTACGAGAGAGGGCATTTGACCCCTGTGGCACGAATGACCGAATCCAGCCTCATGACCTCATTCTCATCAGTGAAGTTCTGGTTATAGGCACAAATGACCTGCTTGCCCTCTGCCTTGCGGTCAAATGGGCTGACTTTAACGAGTGAGATCTTGCCATCTAGGGCCGCTCTTGCCACACATTCCCAAGCGTGGTCCAACTTGAAACCAGTGTCCAAGTGCATAAGCCACTTGCCTGAGAGTACTCTATGGTTCAGGGCCAGCTCCCTCACTGTCTGGAAGGTGACGGGCCGGGAACTCGCCAAAAGTTTCTCCCAACTCTCCTGGAGTCCTGTGACATCCGCACCACTGGGGCAGTGGTTTGGGCCCACCACAGCAATCCACCCCACAGGGCTGACGCCACCCTCCTCGTCTCCAAATCTGGACACTTGGGAGGGCCTGTTACTCTCCAACCAGCCATCAAACTCGGATCTGGGAGTTCTTCTAGAGTCAAAAACAATCCAGGGGTCCATGTCTGCAGCCATGGCTTCAGCAGCATAGGTCTCTGCAGCAAAGGGGGTCCTCATCTCGCCATCAACAGGGCTCTCTTCTTCCTCCATAATGGTATAGCAGTTACACGAGTAAACAAGTTCTGAAGCCTGCCTGTTGAGTTGAAGAATGCAGTTATTATTTGTATAAAAAACCACTGGTTTAGCCTCTGTGTTAGCTTACAACTCTTTTGCTGTTATTTATTAGCTTACAACCCTGCCAAACTTCGACAGAAGTGGACAACTGAATTGCTTATGAATGCTACTAGCTAGCCTGCTACAACAGCGAAAGTTAGCGTATCTCTACCACTGATTCAGTTTCACACGAAAGTTGCTATCGACCCCAGTGTACCGCCTACAGCTGACATGTCAAAGAACACGCAGAACAGCTTTCTGACTGCTTTAGCATTGTTGTAGCTAGCCGACAAGCTAGTCGTCTTTATAAATGTACACACTCGTCCTGGCTAGCCATTTCTAGCCAGCTGTGGAATACAACTGACGCTTTAACATTCACAGTTTTCCCATTCAAAACGTAAATAATCGCACGCCGATGTTAAACTTTGAACATAAAGGCTTACTCTAGCCATAGATGTCGAAGTTTGTTGTTCAGTGTTGCTCTTCCGCATAAGCGCAGCAGCTCCTCTGTATCTAAGAGCCAAAACCCATTCAGGTGGCTGGCAGTTTAACTAATAATTATTTATACATCAATTAAATTACGTACCTCGTCCACAAATTCGACCGTATGTAACAATATAAATATATGATATAAATATATATTTTTTACGTTTTGCTATAACATAATTTTAAACATAAGTTATGCTGTACTAGATTCAGCGACTTTTAAAAAACTTGCATGTTCCTCGGTATGTGTACAAGTCAAATATGTAAGTTTCCCACATTTGTATTTTGTTAAGCTTTAAAAATAAACATGTCCCATTACTATGGTTAAATAAAAGTATTTCTTTTCTTTGCATTTGCGGAACGACAAGCGCTCCAACCTGACGGCACGGAGACCCTGCGGAAACAAACTGACCGCACCGAGGAACGAGTGACGAAGACGATGTGCTAACTAGTTAGCCGGATAGCCACCACTATCTGGTGTGCGCGCGGTGGAGGCGAATTTCTGTATGAAATAGAATACGAATATAGCATATATTGTATTTTATTTTAGTTTAGCCACCCAGGTAATTTAATTATGCCCAGCAAAAAGAAGAAATACAACGCCAGATTTCCTCCGGTAAGTTTAAACTGTGCTGAGCCGGTGTCAAAGCAAGCTAACGTTAGCAAAGTGTAACATGGAAAGCTAAGTTCTGTAACTAGCTTAAGTGGAATTCGGCCTCTTTTGTTGCTTAGAGAGCATACAAGCCATCTAACACTCCCAAACCATTTAGTATACAAAGCACGTGCCTTAGTGAAAAGTAGTTGATGTCATGAAATTAGTGACCAAACATCCCCTGTATGTCATTAGTTGGTGGTGTACACACATAGCAGGCGTGCTATTTAAGTTGGTCTACTAATTGACGTTGTTTTTAGCATCTGAAGCTAGGCTAAACGGCACGTAAATAAATGTGAATAAATCCATTCTTTATTGTAATAAGCTGGATACTGTATCTACAATCCTCACACTACGTGAGTAGTGTAATAGTAATGATTGCAGTTACTTTGTGGGGACCTCACGTTATTCGATGTGCTGTACTGCAAACTCTTTACTAGGTTGTCCCCGAATTTCAGCGCGTTTTAACTGAAAATGTTTGTTGTTGTTTTTTAAGAAAATGAAAATTTGAAGCGTTGCTGTAGACACATGCATAAAAATCGACCTTTTCTCATTTCAGGCAAGGATTAAGAAGATTATGCAGACAGATGAAGAAATAGGCAAAGTGGCTGCAGCAGTGCCTGTTATTATATGTATCCTTCCTGCCTGCAGTCGTCACTGTGCAAGTTCTGTCTTGAATTTATAAATTGTAAAAGACTGTTTAATAATTAGAGAAAAATGCTTCCTCAGTCTGTTGTGTTGTTGTGTCAAGTTGTCTATTATTGCATGTTTGATAGTTTGATGATTTTAAAGTACAAACACACCACTGCTTCACTGTACTTCCCTTATCCAAGATATCAGCAAGAGCACTGGAGCTTTTTTTGGAGTCCTTGCTTACAAAGGCTTGTCAAGTCACCCAATCTAGGAATGCAAAGACAATGACAACGGCACATCTGTAAGTTCTGTGTTTGTCTTCATTCAGAGCCCTGTCTGTGTTGCACTGTGTTGGAGATGAACGTCTTAGGAAGGCAAAGCCATCTGCTGTTCAGATCACTGGTATATTATATAGTATTTGTTTTTAATGAGTGTAGCTGAAATGCTGTCAGGCCTTTATTTTGTTTATTTTTAAAGTGGACTCATGATGAACTTCCAGCTCGATAATTTCATTCTTGGACTTTACTAAAGTAGCTTTGCTTGATTCACATTTAAAAATAACGACTATTCGTAATATACACAACATACTTCTTTTAAGTCAGTTTTCTTCTGATTGGTTTTAACAGTACATTTAACAGTTCTTTCATCTCATTTAATCACATTTCACAAAATGGGAATTGTGCAAAATTTCAGGACTTCAGTCATTAGTTTACTCAAAAAATAATCCTCAGTGAAATGTTGAAAATAGGAGTGTTTTTGAATAATTCCCTAGCATAATTTTGTTTTTACATGACAACATGTACCAAATCCAAATTGACTTTTTAAGTAATGATTGTGATGGTTTTCTTTCTCATCTTCCTAAGAAAAATTTGCCTAAAACACTTTAAAGTAGATAATGTCATTTTAAAGTAGCCCCTCAAAAATGATGTTGGAAAATGTCTAAAAACAGCCCTGCCATCATCCTTTGAAATATTTTTGAGAAAGCTAATGACAGCCGGAACCTGAAATTTTCCACGATTTCTATTTAGGATGTGTATCCTCCACCTGGAATGTTTTTTCAGGTAAGATGGTGAAGTGGGAAAGCATTTGATGAACTGACAAGGACTAACCCTACACATTGCAAAAAGATAAATAAATAAGGAAAATCATTATGAGCCGTCTTTACAAAAAAAATGGCATCCTGTTACACAGCATGATTTACTGTGTGGTGGGAGCCTGATAGTTCTGTGGAGCACATTTGCAGTACACTGCTGAATCCCTTGTATCTGAAAGTATTTCTGGCCTGAGTAAGACAGCCCGCCAAAACAATTTTTCCCTGTGACTCAGACTGTATGTGTTGCTAAAATGAGTATGTACTACCATTAAGCTTGCTGTCTTTTTGATACGAGCTTATATTTCACTTGGCAAGTAAGGCTGAGGAGAAAACTGTTCATATTTATTCACAGAAAGCAGTGCATTGAGCTGGAGCAGCAGTTTGATTTTTTAAAAGACCTGGTTGCGGCGGTGCCAGACATGCAGGGAGAGGGGGAAGAGAACCACACCGAGGGGGGAGGAGAGAAAGTCCCACGGAGGTAACATTCGCTCACACAGACACCCAAACACGTAGAGAAAGAGTCATGATGCTTTGAAATGGAAAGAGTATTTCACATACACGATCAAAACACTCCAGGGTGATATGAGGCAGCCAATCCAGCTGCAGATAATTTGGATTTATTTCATTAAGCAGTTTGTAATTCAGTCAGCTCTGATAAGTGCACACACACATCGGTTTAAACTAAAAAGGATTCGCTCCACGAACAGACAGAATCTGTGTACGTTATCTTTTCTTCTTCTGGAAATGAGCACTGCTGTAAATTGGTCTATAATCCTTGCAGTGTTACCGTACTCCCGTGTTCCTTTAGTTTTGTGATTCTAGATTATCAGAAGAAAATGAAAGAACTGGCCAGAGCGAAAATTAATTATTGAGGAATTGTAGACAAGAAAATGCAGTATTGACTGTCAGATCAGACGCCGGCACCGCAGCTAATTTGTAGCAGAGAGCTTGGCGGGGAATTAGACGTTTCTTTTCTCTGCAGACTGCGGCTGATTGGATTCACATTCAATTCAAAGTGGTCGTAAAACTTGTAATGTTTAGACATTTGGTGTCAGCAAGTGCCTCAGAGTAATTTCCACCAGCAGTATGCGTCACACTGTTCTACTCTGGAGTTATCTTAAAGTTGCAAGGAGAGAATTTCTGCTTTAAAAAAAGCCACATTAGCTACTACGTATGTTTTTCATTTAAAACATTTTTGTGCACTAAGTTAAACAATTGATTTCTGGTTCCCTCGTCCACAGTAGCCCAAGTGTACGTTCTGTTTCATGTGTTGTCTCGTAAACATTCTTTTGAAACTTTAAAGTAGGACCTGTTATCACATTTCCTTACACGCTTATCTTTTTTCTTCCTCAGAGGTCGAAAACCAGGGTCTGGTCGCAAAAACGGAGGTGCTGGCGCCAAAGGCAAGGACAAGAAGTTATCTGGAACAGAGTCGGAGCAGGAGGTGTGAGATGATTTGCATGTAGAGGCCTGAACCTGTCTACTGTGTTTGTCTGTATGAGGGGAGACGACTCACTGTTGTCTTCCTTGTGATGGAAACAGGACGACAGTGAAGACAGCGAGACAGACGGGGACGACGAGGACGGCTCTCAGTCTAGCACACATCTGCAGGCTCCATCCAGGTTCCACAGGTTTGTGTCCAGATCCACATGAGACGGTGTGTCTGGAAATATCCTCCCAGACTGCAGACTGCAAAACAGACTCTCTGATACCAAGATGTAAAGTGATTTACAGCATATGACAAAGGAGATAGAAGCCCAGAAAATGGCATAGAATTCATGAGAACTGCTGAATCATTATAAACAACCCACACACATTTGAGCCATTCAAACACTACATGATGCCCACAAGAGGGCAAACCAATACAGCAAAAGATGCAAGTAGTTACTTAGGCACATTTAGTCCAACATAAACATGTTTACATACCCACACACCCTGAGTGAGCTCTGCTTTGGAACAACATGGACTGGTGTGGACTGGCATTTATACAGCACATCTCTGGTTTTCAGTATTCTGAGTATTCAAACCTCTTCACACTACTGTCCCCATTTATTCTGTACTAGCACATATTCAGCAATTTATCTACACACGTGCTGTGAGACATCACAGCTGGCAGAATTAGCACTTTAACTTGATTCTTATATCAACTGATAAAAACAGAAGACTCGTCTAAACATGGAACAACAATTCAAAAATTCCATCGATATGAATTTGGGAAATGATTAGCAGGGACCTGACGTGTATGAGGCTTTTCCCACTAGCCAAATCACGAGACTTGTGCTTCAACCATTCACTCGGTGCAGTTAGGGTTACACTGTTCTGCAGTCTGCTGATTACAGAGCTTGAAGAGCAAATCGCTCTTTGTGATGCTGAGTTTACTTGCGAACTGAGATTATGATATTGAAAATGGTAATAAAAACAGTAAATAACCATATAGCATACTTGAAAAAGTAACCAAGAATGTAGGAAATGTGTTTTATTTCAGTCTTTGTTAATTTGGTCAAATTTGCCAGCACAGAATAAAATTAAGAGGCTTGTGGAGTCTGAGATGTCTGCAGTTCAAAGTGTTTTCTATTGCTGTATTCCATTATTGCACTGTTACAAGCAGATATAATAATATTCGAAACCCAATGTGACCTCCCGTCATATACAACTCTATACTCACATGCCAGTTTGTTAGGTATAAATGACTGGGTTGGGCCCCATTT